ATTCCCAGTCAGGGGGGGGCTTGGTTGATGGCTATAGTCTATCTACAGTGGAGAAATTGGATGTTTAGAAAACTGATATACTATAGGACATAGATGAACCAGAATAGATAATATACAACTTGTATGAGACCTGAAAATAATGCAGCAGAAATGGTAATGAGAGCATATGTGACATCAGAAAAACATCATATGTCACAAAACAGTGCTAAATGGGAGGTAACTGGACTTTCACTCAGGTTTTATGTGGATGTTTTGACACCTATCTGCATGTCTTTGTCAGTTCTGACGGCTCGCAAGAGAGCAAACTGCAGTCGGTCCGCTGAAGTTATTTCACTAGCATGGAGGGCCATCCTACTAAACAAATCCTAAGTCAGATGCAAACCAAAAAAACCCACCTGCTGTTCTCCTGGGTTGTTGGAGTCTTTTGTTGTGTATAGGTTTGGAGTTTTGCTATTGAATATTGATGAGTGTGCTTGTGTAACCTCTTTGGAACGAGTTCCAGGACTGAACTCTAAATGCTTGGAAGCTAAAACTGCAATCCTCCTCCTACTACTTTTAGTGATCACTTTTCTCTTGACAAAAATGGTACCTCTTTCAAACCACATATCCTCTCTGTCCAAAATTTGAATATTTCCATCAAGATGAAAGACTGGGCTTCTTTAATACCTTCTGCTTTGACATGTTGGTCCCCTGCCTATGAACCATGTCTATCAAATATATTGACAGCTTTTATGGAAAGATGGCTGTGCCATGGGCTCACCAGTTTACCCCCACAGTGGCTAACATCTACCTTTAGGAGCTGGAGAGCAGAGCATTCCATTGGATGACTGAATTTACACACAGAATATCAGCCTTCAGATATCTTAGACATATAACATTTGAATAAGAAAGGAACTCAAATCGAAGGGAATGTTTTAAGATCCAGAACTTCTGTAAAGACATTATTAAATGCCTGTTAGATATGTTTAAAATTAGGGTACAATTGAACATACGTCTGTTTGTAATATACCCACAAGAATTTGTATGTATATTAAAAAAACATTAACCTTCTGGATTTCTAACTTGTCCAATCCAGGCAAGCAACAGCACAGCACACATCTACATTACTAATTTGGATTTGACAAGTCACAAGTTGTAATCATTTGGAAAGGCTGTGTACAAAGCTAAGGGGAAGCAAAGCTACTTCTGTCTTTGGGAAACACATAAGAGTATTCTTCAGAAAAAAGTGAATATAAATTCCACTCAAAGCTGTCAAACCTGTTGGTGGCACATAATTCTGTGAGGTTGTTTTTTTAGTTGTTGTATGTTTTAGTATTTTTTTTTATTTTTTTTGCTAGAGAAAATACTATATGAAAGCACTGAAGCAAAATCTCCAAGCATAATCGAATAAGAGTGGATGCAAAGTTATAAAGAGTCTGAATGACCACAAAGTCAGTACTTTTTAGCGACGACCACAAAGCCCTTCTGCAAGTGAGGTGGACTCATTACATAGAAAACCATTTATAGACACAAAAATGAGAGCAGAAACAGCAATACTGCGAAATATTTGCATTTTTATTTATTTTTTTAAAGTTTTGTTTGAAATCTTTTAAAGATGTCTGAAACATTTGTGGTGGCATCATTTGCTGCTATAGCCTCTAAAAGACCTTGAATAACCAAAGTGCTAGAATATTAACATTTTCAATGGCTTCACTCTGTTAGTAGGAATTGTACATCAAAAAGTCTGCTCAAGTGAAAACACATTTTAAACAAAATTGACAAAAAAAAAAAAAAAAAAACTATTCCCAATCATATCAAAGGATCTTTTATAGCCCCCCCATCATCTGACATAGAAGTAGTGCAGGACGTCATTTTGCACCCTATCTGATGTTCTTTAAGTATCCCCAACCAAAAGAAAATAAAAACAGGTTACATAGTTGTTTTTTTATGTCCACAGCATAGACATCAGCATACTGAGGCCTTGCATCAGTAAAACACCACGCTTTAGAACTAAATTAACCTAATGAAACCAATACAAAGATGGCTCCTAATACAAAATAAAATCCTCTCAGTGAGCTATTGAAAACATTTTTTTTCACACTGCATATACAGTCCCTCAATTCTAAAGAGATAACACAGTTTCAGAGTTAAACACAATTTATTGATGCTTAAATTAATGTTTTTGATCCATTGTTTTGTCATACATTACTCTATGTAGAGCTACAATCAAATCTTTATTCGTCCGTATTGTCTTTTAAATCATTGTAATATCCCTGCCCCCCACCCTATGATTAAAATATCCACCCTCAAAAAAAGGAATGCCCCAATACTTCTTTATTAACACCACACCAGCTGTTAGAAAACCAAATCCACACTTAGCTAAAATGGTAACAAACAGTCTAACAGTGTACATGGACTCCCAACACCTTACTGCCAATACACACAGTACGAGTTGAATTTCACAGCGAGCCCGCCTACAAGCATTTACATTCAGGTCACCTTGTCCTAGTAGCAGAAGTCGGCCCCTTTCAGTTTTTAACACAAACAGACGAGACATCACACCCTAAACGAGCTATATGCTTTTCATCCTCAGCCCCAGCATTAAAAACAAGTGAATGGCATTATTTGCCAGTTCAAAATATAAAACAGGTGAAACCTTTCAGGGCTTTATGTGTACAGAGATAAAGGGTTTTATCACTTGAATACAGTATTTGCAAACTTGTAAAAATTGTACCTAAAATAAGGTGAACAGCATGCATGAAAATATGAGTAACTCTGAAAGGCTGTTTTTTTTTTTTTTTTCAATTAGATCAGCTCCCAAGGTGGGAAGAGAAAGTTTCTGGAAATTCCCCATTCTCCCTATTAAAATCAAACCATCTTTTTGTGTGTACAAACATTAAACCTGCTCTAATAATTAAATATACAAGAACTGGTGAAGTTAGTCAGATCCTTAAAAGTTGAACTGCTTCTGTAGTTTATGAAAGCACTTGAAAAGGATCCTTCTCCCCAGTGCCCCTTATCAATAACGCGCCCTTTATTTCAGAATTATACACTGCCCATTCTCTAGACAGAAAAAAAGCTTATCCTGTTAGTTTAAATTTAAAAAAGGAGCAAAAACAAAAACAACCCCTCAAACAATTTACATCTTGAGAGCAATGAAACAAGAAAAAAAGACTATAAGGCGAGTGTTGTAGTCGGGTTCAAAAGAGCTCCGGTTGATTATTTTTGTGGTACAGTGTCTGCTTTATTCTTTCCTTGAGCTTTTGTGCCATCTTTGGTCACAGTTGTGCCTGTTTAGTCCTTTTTCTTATTCCAACAGCAAATGATGCTCCTGAGAAAGTTCTCGCACCATCAGTAGATCTGCAACACAGACTGTTTCACGCCAAACAGGAAGCAGAATCTCTGTCCAATGGTCCACCGCAGTCGAAAAAAGAAAGGAACCACCTGGTCCTTTTTTACTGACCCAAAGTGAGTTTTTCATGCTCATGCGTAAAACCGAGAGTGTCTGACTCCTCTTACGGGAAAGAAATATCACTTGTTTGAAGCAGACTGGAGCTTTTATTTAATTGCTTCCCAATGAATGGAACCCTCAAAATGGTTTGAGCAGTTGTTCCCAGGTGACTTAAACAATGGTTCCTGTGAGCCTGCAAGACACAATATTTTGGGGAGATGTATATCAATTACAGAGGATATCATGATCTCAAATGCACAAATCTGTTTTCGAAGAAACATAAAAAAAAAACATTTCAAAATTAGAAACTTGATTTAATTTTATTTTTTTTATGTTATAGACCAACAACAGGTTGGTAAGAAAACAACAAATGGTTTTTGCATATAAAAAAAAAAAAACATACAAAACAAAATTGTGTGTAATGAATTTGAATGCACCTGAGTCCACCTATATTTGGAAGCCAGCTCTGCACATATACAAGACTTGTTGGCTTATTCCTTGCAAATCAGCTCAAGGTGTTTAATTCAGAACAGCTTGTTGAAAAAGCTTAAAGAGCACTGCTTACAATTTAATTAAAATGTGTATGAAGAGTTTCTTCTCCCTACTTGACCTCAACATGAAATGGTAAAACCTGACACTTGGTTGCTACTGCGGCCCTTCCTCGTATCAACTCTCCCTCAGTAATTTCACGGCAGTGTTGCTCTCTTTTTAAGTCACTTGTACACAGATGGAATGATTCACAGCAAGCATGAGGGCAAGCAGCAACAGCAGGGATTAACAGTCTGGCTAACGGGATAACAAACTCTTTAGGATGCTGTGATGTTGTTCTAAGTTGTGGATTAAGTAGACAAAAACAGGCATGCAGGGCATGAGGTGTGTGCTATCAGTGAGCCCTGTTTCCTTTGTATCCTGCTCCTATTCAGTCTCACTGAGTAGGGTAGAAATGATGCCAATGGATAAGCAGACTCCCAGCAGTCAGCTTTTTATACTGAGCGCAGCAACACAAAGCAGGTTTGTGGGTTAAGTTAGTATGTATTTTTATAACCTGGCAGATAAGGGTTCATTTTAAATGATTAACAACTGTGCAGACTGTGCAAAAGTGCAATTATTTATTTTTTTTTTATCAATCACTGCAATAATTATAAGTTCTGCTTTTAGTTAAATGTTGCTGCAACTGTCCAGAACAGCAGCAAGAAAAAGAACAATGGCTTTAGAAGCTACTACTGAGGTAACACTTCAACCTAATATGCAAACACATATAGAGACACATGAAACAACCGCAGCTTAGACAAGCTTTGGCTACACCTTACAAAAGTATTGATACTTCTTCAACTTTTCAATATTTTATTTACATTGCAAACACTGAGCTCAGCTCTGAACGCATGGAAGGAGTTGGTCTGATCAGATTAAACCCAACCTGTACTTTCTGGTCTACATGCAAAACCATTATCTTTTTTATATAAGACCGCACATGAAAATGAACACTATCTTCACAGGTAATGATGTTGGTTGCAGCATCATGCTGAAGGAGGACTTTGCGTACTTTGTAGCATGTATCATTTCACTCTACAATTATGAGTACTTTGTGTTTTTGTTACACAAAAAATACACAGAGTATTTTTTTTTTACCAAACAGACAAAAAAATGTATATATATATATATATATATATATATATATATATATATATATATATATATA